ATGTTAGAGAAAAAATACTTAAAAAAATTAAAACAAAAAAAGATTTATACAACGAGAAAAATAGGAGAATACTATTTCTCCTTAAATAACAAAACCCTCTCGAGGATATGTTGGTCGCTTCGTCAATTATCTTGAATTAACGAAATGGTTTTAGAGAAGTTTTTCTGGCTTTGTGCACGCGCGCGCCCATCGGATCGCATTTCCCCCTTATATAAATCCACCTTCCCCACATTTCATTCGGGACGTATCTGATTGAGTCACGATACACGTAGCCTTTTTCTAAATCTCTCGTTTCGCAACTTGGAACTTCGATTCTCGATTCCGAACGGCCGATCCGAACGGCAGAAACAATCTAAACACGTAAACGAACCGTGAGACTTGATTGCAGCGAATTACCAGTTACACTGATCAAATAATTCTCATATCAATAATAATAATAATAATATGTAAACAGCGAGCGAACAAGTTTAACGTATGAAATTATCGTGCGAACAATATTGATTTAATTTATCCGATAATTGCACATTCAACAAGCAGCAAGCTTCGTGTCCCGGTAACTTAACTTAATAATTTGAAGAAAATTGTCTGATGTCAACTGCAAGTCAACTGCGATAAAAAAAATTTAAAGATTTTACGTCTTCCTCCGAGAGCGAAAAACGACAAAGCAAATACAATGATTGAATACAGAAAATATAAACGAATGGAAATTTAAAAAGATTCGTTCAAGAGAATGTAATCTCAACTGTCTAACAAACCGCGAACTTCGAGTCTAAGTAACGTTTATCGGACGCTGAAGCTCATCATGCGGCTTATATTGTACAAATGTCCTATTTCGCGATTTCGGAAACAACTCTATTCGTATCCGCTCGGTTTGTCGCGTGATACTCGCATTGAGACACACGAAACGCTATTGGTATAATATTGCAGCTTTGTCGCGTTTCTATCCATCTGAAATGACACGCTGCGACGGTCCGAGCTTCCAAATTGGAAGCCGGACAGAACCGGACCGCCGAGAAAGTACCGCCAGAAACAGAAACAGAGATGGAAGAGAAAGGGAACGGGAGGGAGATTGCGGGGATAACTCTAAAGTCTCTCTCTCTCTCTCTCTCTCTCTCTCTCTCTCTCTCTCTCTCTATGACGTTCCGACAAAACGCGCTCAAACGCGCGTTCGGGTTTAGAGAGCGACCAGCTTACTCCGTAACCGTAGACGACTCGTCTTCTAAAACGTACGCGTGGCTCCTCCTTCCTCCGGCTAGGACACTAAATATATCCAGTGGAACCCCTCGCGAAACAGCCCCTCACGTGTTATACCGCTTGTCGTGAAAGCGGTAATTACCGCCCGGTAAGTTCGGATCTATTTATGAGAACGTCGCACGGAGGAGAGGTATAATGTGTGCGCAATATTTCGAAGGAACAAATGAAAGAGAGAGTTCGACGCGCACCGAGCTTGCAAATTAAACAATTTCCGAAAATTTCGTCGAACGTTGTTCAAATTGTCGCATAAATTGTAGTAAATTAGAACTAATAATAATTAGTTCAAAATTGTGTGCGTATATATATATGTGCGAGATTGATGAAAAGATGACGAACGTTATGTATTAAATCGCGACTTTCGTGGAAAGTGACGAAAGTTCGCGAAAGTTTTCGCGTAAAACAAATTCATTTCTCGCATTAATTCCCTTGCATAACAGATTTCTTCGTGAAAATGGCCGGATAAAATCGAGAGAGGTTGCATAAACCGAAATCCGAAAAGTCGGCGCCGGGGATTGCGGGGTAAGTCCGTTAATTAATGCGAGTCAAACGCGCTTAGCGCCGAGCGTCGTCTTTAGTGATTCAGTGGGCAAACTTTATTCCTTCGTCGAAGGATATTTCCTTTCAGAAGATGCCGCGGCGCGAAGGAAACGAGAGTGGAATGGAGAAGCGAGAGAGAGCGACTTAGTTCACCGGCGAAGTTCTTCGCGTGACAATATGGCCGATCTGGCGTAGGGGAACGCGCGGGTGCTTTACTTTCGCATCCTTCCGGCACAGACGTTGCCGTCGTCGTCGTCGTCGTCGTTGTTGCCGCCACCGCCGCCGCCGCCTCCGCTCCTCCACCTTAATTAGCCCCGCCCGTCGGTAAACAATAAGCTGTTATTTCTGACAAATTAATTCGAAAAACAATTCCTGGTCTGTCCGTCTGCGCAGCGACGCAACCATCGCCGGCTTTTATCCCCACTGGGGGATGCGCGTCTCAAAACGTAACGAGCATCCCTTTCATGTAATACTACACCGTGCGCCAGGCTACGCCGGAATTTCCGAGACCGAGAACCGCGTTAAGCTCCCTCAGAATCCTCTTGCGAACCGCTGCTTCCCGATCGCAAGAAAATCAGACTTATGCCAAAGAGCGGGAGAGAGAAAACGTCGCGCGCAACGATCGACGATCTTGTATAACATAAATTATATTACAAAACCAAACAATAAATTCTCTGGTTTGGGCTTTGGAAAAGAATATTGTCAGTTGCTCGTGATTGGAAACGCCGTTGCAAGACAGAGACTTGAGAGACACCGCTTTTATATCTTTGTTTGAATTTGAAAGGTGTTCGTCGAGCGAAAAAATATATTTTGTAAAAATAATGTTATTTTATTTTACCGCTTGACAGAAGCAAAGTATATATTTTGCTCGCGACAAACGTTCAACGACATCCTTCGTAGGTTTTGTAAATTTTTTAAGTAGGTTTTTTACAATTTCGATACGTTAAAATTTCTTTTAATTTACAAGCAACTGCTAATTATATTTTGGTTCAATTATTCGCTAAGGAACCCCTTCAGTCCCGATTCTAAGTCCGTAAAGACGCTGGCAAAGTTTATGAGCGGACCTTATATGAGACGCTTCACACAACTCGATCATAATTAAGTACCGTGGGGAAATTCGCGTTCTCCTTGTTACATATATATACATATATATATATATGTATATATATCGCGTTCTCTTTTCCGCGTATACACTTGCATGGATGCATTTCCCGCGCGAGGAGATACGGATGGTTACGTTTCAGACCGGCCAAATCGCTTTGTCGCCACGTTGATCCTAGCCGTTATCCCTCGTGCAAATATTTAAGCGTACCTCGTCTGTACACTCTGGAGATTACATGGGAAGCTTGCTTCGTTTCGTCCGACTTCATCTTTATCAACATACTGATCAAATCTCTCCGTCCCGCTTCGCCACGCGTTCAAACTTGACACCCGCGGAATATAATTAATAAACACCCGTTTTTCTTTGTGATTCGCGAGAAAATCGATTAAATTAAAGGATATCAAGTGACACGCTATCGAGAGTTTTTTTTTTTTTACGGCGGCATTGCGGGATCTGTGATAATTAAATCTATTTCATTTAGATACGTTAATGCGCGTGCAATGCGACACGGTATTATCATTGGCGCAAGTCTGTTGCGCGATTGAAAGTCGAGAGAAGTCCCTTCGAACAGCCCGATTTGCTTTTCCCAATCTCCCATCTTCGCCATCACGTTTCGAGCGCGTTTGGCGAACTTGGGAACCGCTTCCAAGAGCTTCCGTTGCGGATATCCAGTTTGATAGTTTAAACCGGATATTCGACGCCCGCTTCATCTCGTTTTCTCTCTCTCTCTCTCTCTCTCTCTTTTGCTTTCTCTCGTTGGATGATTCCAGAAGCAAACAGAGAATGGGTGGTTGTAGTTTCGGGACTCGAGGGGAGGAAGCAAAGAATAGTGGCCTAGTCAGCTTATAGTGAGACGCTCATCTGCATTTCAAATAGCACGCCCGCATGAAGATTTGTACACGCGCATGCCTTTCTGAAAATGTGAATCCAAACGTGCACAATGGGTCGAATGAAAATCGCGCACGATGGACCGAATGATCGAACAATTGTACGACAGTGAAAAAAAAAAAAGAAAACGTGCTGTAAATCACTCACGACTTGTTTCGAATTATTGGCTGTTATATTTTTAACTCACACGATTTAACAAAATTTACAACACACTTCACTAAATTAAAAAATTTATTTCTTCTTTGTTTCACACAAAAATCCACTTATACTTATCACATTTGTTTATTCTTAAATAATGCGAGAGAGACTCACACGCGTGTAATAAATTTCTCTCTCGCATTTTAATAAAATAAATTCTTGAACTGGAAATGTTGTTATCAAGCGCGTACCATCTGCAACTATTGCTATTTCCGTCTTTGTCGGAAAGCTTAGCGCGCGCTGCATGTAAGAGCTTGCATATATCAAAGACACGTCACCCAAGCATGCCGTGATTGTTTTCGCTTCTATACACGCACGAGGGAGGATAGCGTGCACATAAGACGGAAATTCCGCTAGATAGCTACGGGGGACCACGTTCTTCCCCCCGCGGCGGAATTGAGCGACCGCGGATTTACGAAACGAGCGGAAGTCGACCGTGCTTCCGGATCAGACGGCTAGGCGAAAGTCTGCTGCGGGCTCTTCTGTCCCGATTAAACTACGCGGAAATCCTATCGAGGAGCAGACGCCATTATCCATGCGAAACGGCGTTCACGTTACGTCCACGAGCTTGATTGATTAATCGAACGAAAAAGCGACTTCTTCTGTAGCCGCAAAAATTGCGCTTTTAAGTCCGACGCTCATCGAATGATTTTACAGAGTTTATTAATTTTATTTAAAATCCTTCCCTCTCGGTCTCTCGTCATGGGAAAAAAATTTCTAAAACAAATATTTCAAAATATATAAAAATTAGTTTATTAGAAAATGCAATTTTTAATTAACACTTTCATTTATATATCCTTCCATTTATTTTATATCAAAACTTTTTCGATAAAATATGAAAGAACGCAAGCGGACGGATATTAAATGTCCGGGCGAAAATTGTTCGTATAGATTACATCGTCGCCGCGATGGAAGCGAGACCGAAGCGATGAAATTCAGCGGTCGGAAATTGTTTCAGAACTAGCGCCGAAATTTCGTCGTCGCCTTTGCCCCCGAGGCGATGATATTCGTAACAGCTTACCTTGCCGACTCCGGTGAGCTCTTTTACACCTATCCTCCTGAGTAGGGCGGGTGGTGCTGGAGGTGGCGACTTGAGCAGGAGCGCGGCGTACCCATTGGGAAAAATGGGCAGCTCGTCAGATCCGATGTTTTCGTCGCCGGAACGTCGTCGCCGATGCGGACTCGACGACAGATTCAATTTCTGCGCTGCCCTGCACAACACAATTAATTTTCATGATTTTAATATCACACCGCTCCAGTACATCTCATGCACTTGAACATAAAAAATATCATTTTAATTAGAAAACTGAAATCATAAATAAACATAAAATCATATTCTAAAAAGTTGTTTATATTTATTTATGTAAGTGTTTTGCTTTATTTGACTTTTATCGAGAAAAATTAAGTTATATCCGAGCACCTAAGAGGACGCGTTCCCGACTTTCTCAGGCGATACCTATCTCGGGAGACGCGGCGCGACCGTACCTGCAAAAGGGTCGCCGTATTCCGGAAGGTATGTGTCTCGGGGGCGACTGCGGGTGACATACTCCGCGGGGTGGGCCTGGTAATCAGCGGTGGTAATGTGCCGGAACCTCCGGTGGCGCGCGCACGGGAGTGCATCGCCGAGGTATAGCCCGCGTTTAAAAGGGGTGCGCCGGAAAACGGAGAGCGCTCGTTGTGGTAGTGCCCGGCGTCAGTTTCGGCGGGGCGAGGAGGTGAAGTTACGCAGGGTGGTCGCCCTAACTTCTCTCCGCCCCTCGTGGGCCTCGTTAACCCACGCTCTGTGAAATTGGAAATACCAGCGACCTCTCGCGCGTATTCGTTCGCCCTCCTCTTTCTCCTCCCCCGAGGTCGACCCTCGCTCCTGCTCGCGTTTTCGCGACCCTGCCGAGTTAGAGTGTTATAAAAAATGGAAAATGCGCGGAGTATGGGACGCGGTTATCACCCGCGAGGTGCAGTCGCTTTTGCGCGCCGACCGCGTTGCGTCAAGTGAATCACGTCGTTTGCTGCTCTTTCGCTTTCCCGCGCGACCAGGTGCAAGTGAACGGCGCGTGAAACGACTTACGAGGATTGCGATGCGCCGATCGGCCGACGATTTCTTTTATAGATTTCGAGCGATGCGAGGGTGGAAAAAAGAAAGCAGATGACTTTATTACCACCCGCTTGCGCGGGACCGGACCCTTGAAGAGTAAGGTGAAATAATAGGGTAATTTTGGAACGGACGACCATAGTTTTTGGAATAGATGGCTAAAAAAGAATGTGTTTTATAATGCTCACTAAAAAACAAGGGTTCTCACATTTCGGGGAGAGACTTTTATAGTATAATACGGCAAAAAGTTAACAGCAATGTAAGAATGTCTTGTACTTTTATGAGAACATATTGGCGTATACTTTTGTTTTTGAAAAATTATTAAAAAAAGAAAAACATTTTTTCAAAAAAAAAATATATATAACATGTATCAAACAATGACAAATTTATTTTCTATCTACGCGAGCTAGAACTTGGAATATAAATTTCTGCACAAAATCGTCACGTAGAAAAAGAAAGATCTTAAAGTTAATTACGAAAACTAATTAAAAATCGTCAGTTCTGTCTCGGACGCGATCGGGATGCGTGGACAGCGCGTGGAGCGCAAAAACCTATGTAAACCTTTAAGACAATTAGAACATCGCCGGCAAAATATTGCGCAAAAGCTTTGGTATGTGTTGTTGCGTTTGGTTGCAACGACGCCGAATTCACGTAACGTGCGCGGGGGGCGGCTCGTCGCAGCCCGCGTAACACATCCATCGACAAGCGGAATGTTTTGCCCGACCCCGTTCAAAAGGATTGTTTTCGCGGACTATCAACGTTGTTGCGCAATAAACGCTAGCGACAGAGGGAAAAAGGGAAACGCAGGAAAATCCACGAGGTCGCGGCTCTCATCGTGCCGTTTTAACGAGCGCGTACCAACTATCCGCGAGAACGACGCGTCGCGCCGCATCGCATCGCATCGCGGAACTTGCGGTGCACTTTTTGGAAGCGTGCGCAGTCTGCTCGAACTCCAACCGACCTGAGTTTCATGCTTGGTTTAATTATTTACAGTCCTCTTTTCTCTCTGAGAGATCGAGAAGAGCGTTGGGTGAGAAGGGTGTGAGTTTATGGAGCGGAACTTTGACGAACAAATTGCGCCTCAAACTTTCGGCCACTTTCAGAGAGAGCACGCCGCGCGTTTTTTCGACGCTGTGGGAACAATGCAGATTTCGTTTCTTTTCTTCCTTTTTTCGCACGGTCGTGTAACGATGTTGGCCACATGCCAAAAGGATAATCGCGTCAATGTATTCTCCGTCGCGGATAGGATTATACGAACATTCTGGTTTCAAACTTCGCGCGGAATAACGGCGAACAAAAATAACATCAAACGTTAACGCGCGTTTTTTTTTTTTTTTTTTTTTCAAATGCAACGTGGAATGCATAATAAAACATGAATGATTCCCAACGAGAAATGTTTCTGTATAATTAACGCAGACGCAATTAACGCGGTCTGCCTCATTAGCAACCTCGGAAGCATCTAACGAATTGCATTTTCTCAACATTACAAAGTAATAAAAATTTACTACTAGAGAGAAAGAGTTGCGGCATACGTATGAAAAAAAAAAAAAATAGCTAAATGTTTGAAAACTCGCATGTCATTTTAAAGCATTTGTAATGTAACCACTTTATATTATTACACTAAGTCGTGTGTGTAAAATATTATGTGAAATTACGTGGCAATTTTTTACCGCTTATCTACATGAGCAAAAATATGTTTTACGACCGCATTTATATTGTTTGCTTTGACAAACATACATAGGAAGAATATTCAGAAAAACTCTTAAAAAAATTGTTGCAAAAAATAATTAAAAATCTATAAATATTTAAATATTTTGCCATAAAATAAAAATCAAATTAATAATTTTCTGAGTAAGATGCAAAAACAGTAAAAAAGTAATTATTTTTTCAGCATGTTATTCATTTTTGCTACGAGTGTCTGCGAGAATAAATGCAAGAATTTCACATCTTGAAGAAAAAGTCTGATATTCTACGCTATTTTTCGCGGAGAGGACGAAATACCAAATACGAAGACGTTCTATCGAAGGCTAATGGCAGTCGTAAGATTACAAATCAAGCGAAACATCCATTCCCGCAGTAATGTATCTCTTACTTCGCAATATGTGCCTTAGGAGAATCCAAAATAAAACGCGAAAGAATGTGGTAGACGCAGGTGCGTGTCACAAAAGCACAATCTATTTCATCAATCAGGCGGAACAGATGTGGTACTGGGTCTCATACATGTATTCAAAAACCTACAATAAAATATCACCCGAAACACCCGTATTCACCATTGACATTTAATATCTTAAAAAGCAAAACGTAAAACGCCAATGCGTCAGGGCGCTGCTTAACCGTGCTCGCGATAAAATAATATTTTAATATAACCGCGCAACATTTTTGTCGCTGAACAAATATTAATACAACACATTAATACAACAATCAGAATAATTAAAAATTCTGTTTCTCCTTTGATTTTTTTACAACATTGATTTTTTAAATTCAATTTTACTTGTTTATATCTCTCTATTTCTATTTTACAATAACGTTCATCGTTTGTTCAGCCATATTCGAAACGTGCTTTTCGCGAAATAACTAATTTCAGCTACATTGCTGATTTTCCCCCAACGGAGATCTCTCGATTATATTGAAACATTTTCGCTCGGCAATGAACCCGACACGTTTCACGATTTGTAACGTCAGTTTGGACAACTGTACGGGTTAAAAAAAAAAACGCACAATTTTGCAGCAATAAAAGTATCGCGCAGATAAAGCCGATGGGAGAAGAGAGGGTGCGTGCGGAGAATCCGCTCGTAATGCATGCGTGGAAATTACACGCTTAATTTGCGATGTTATTTACGAGGGAACGGACACCATTCACCCCGACCACCCCGGGGAAAACCGGAAACCAGGGGTATGCCGCCCTTTCTTGGCAATTCGCCACGTATCTCGACTTAATCAAGAAAATTATAGCGCGAAACGCGCTCTAAAATGTCCGGATCTCGTTAGCAAGGTCGCATATTTGGCGCCGCGACACGTCCGATATCGGCGCGAGGCGCATGAATTAAAAACTTTTGACGAGAGCTACACGTGACGAGATTTTATGAGTTAGCGACGGGAAAAAGTGGCGGGGCGGTTGCGAGAAATTTTATAGGCAGCAGATTAATTAAACAGTCCGCAAGAGCAGGCACACGCGCCACAATCAACCCTTTTCCCGTCTGGCAAGGCCGTGAATATACTCGGTCGGGGCTGAGAATAGCGACGATGATAACGACGAGACCGTCGCTAAACAAACACGCGTGTTGTCATGACGGTGCGCCGCTCTTTACGAGCAATCATATCCGGTCGGATCTCTGAGAATGTGTTTTAGTCGCTTTTTATTGAGATTACGTAGCGTGTTTAATTTTCGTTTTATTCGCACGCTCGAGGGTAATACGACAAAGATTATGTCGCCATCCTACAAATCATTTTATTTTTCTGTGCCTTATAATTTTTTTTTATTTTATGGACAACTATCTTTGAGCAGTTTTTTACTTTTATTAATGAAAATGTAATCTCGTGAAAAATATCTACGAACAAACGTTTTTTTTATTTCTATTACCGTGAATTACATTTTATGCTGCTGTAAAATTAATTATTGTATTTTTAGCACTGTAAGATATTCAGATAATCGAACGCTATCAATGACTCGTGCTTTTGCTTACGAATAAGAGAAGTTTGATAGCCGCAAATGATGTTGAAAGTTATAAGATTCACTGAGCCACGACAAATTATTTGTCGAGACTGGCGGCAAATGAAATTTCTTCTTCGGACGGATTAAATTTGCATCCTCATTAACTGCTTTTCCTACCTGCGGAAAGTTACAAAGCTCTCTCCGTCGTTCTGTAAACACCTTAATGGACGCCCGGCAAAAAATCTCCAACACTTTCACAAAGTCGCAAAACGCTTGCAAAAAAAAATTTTTTTTTTTTTTTCTACATTGTGCAGGAGAGAGAAAAAGGGAAAGAAAAAGAGAGAGAGAGAGAGAGAGAGAGAGAGAGTGAATATCAGTAGCGTGTGTGCCTAACGTTATCACGCGCGCTGCACTCCACGGTATTTCACAGGACGGGAGATAATTGTAGTTTAAATTCGGCTCTCCCTTCC